AAACATTTTATTTCATGCTGAGATCATGTGCAGATGCTTTTGTTGGGAGTGCTTGATTCGGATGACAAGCTGATCTATCTCGTTCTAAACAAATGTTCCGTTGGTGGTATGTACACAAGATGGAAATATTGAATACAACAATGGCATTCACACCTCGTATTGATCTATGGGCAAAGGAATTGTTAGATCACATGCAACAGTAAGCTTAATGTTTGCTTATCATACCAACCTGCAGTTTTCTGAAAAGTGATTTTTCATCTCTGGAGTCCTAGATAGCGAAAACCATTAATTTCTTGTTAGTTATCACCCAGAACCTACTGAGATTTCTAAACAATTTTTCAAGCTCGTAAATCTGCAGATATTGGAAATAATGTTGGTGGTGGCATCTAGTGCTGCTAGTGCTGGGGAACCTGTATAGATGGTATTTACATGGCCAATTCAGATGTTATGTCATCCAAACTGACTTAGGTATGGACTGTTCAGCTTAAACATCATTCTTGTCATCTCCACTCTCTTTACTATCTCTAGTTTCCTCTCTGTCACGTTCATGTTTTCTCTCTATCTCTCTACCATCTCAAGTCTTCCCTCTGTCATATTCATGTTTTCTCTCTATCTCTCTACCATCTCAAGTCTTCCCTCTGTCATGTTTTCTCTCTATCTCGTTACCATCTCAAGTCTTTCCTTTGTCACGTTCATGTTTTCTCTCTTTCTCTCTACCATATCAAGTCTTCCCTCTGTCACGTTCATGTCTTATTGTCATCTTTTTACCATCTCAAGTCTTCCCTCTGTCACATTCATGACTTCTCTCTATCTCTTTACCATCTCAAGTCCGGCCTCTGTCACGTTCATGACTTCTCTCTATCTCTATACCATCTCAAGTCTTCCTTCTGTCATGTTCATGTCTCTTTCCATCTTTTTACCATCTCAAGTCTTCCCTCTGTCACGTTCATATCTCTTTCCCTCTCTATACCATCTCAAGCCTTTCCTCTGTCACGTTCATGTCTCTTTCCATCTTTTTACCATCACAAGTCTTCCCTCTGTCACGTTCATATCTCTTTCCATCTTTTTACCATCTCAAGCCTTCCCTTTGTAATGCTCATGTCTCTTTCCATCTTTTTACCGTCTCAAGTCTTCCCTCTGTCACGTTCATTTCTCTTTCCATCTCTATACCATCTCAAGCCTTTCCTCTGTCACGTTCATGTCTCTTTCCATCTCTTTACCATTTCAAGTCTTCCCTCTGTCACGTTCATGTCTTCTCACTATCTCTTTCCCATTTCAAGTCTTCCCTCTGTCACGTTCATGTCTTCTCACTATCTCTATACCATTTCAAGTCTTGCCTCTGTCACGTTCATGTCTCTTTCCTTCTTTTTACCATCTCAAGCCTTCCCTTTGTCACGTTCATGTCTTCTCACTATCTCTTTACCATCTCAAGTCTTCCCTTTGTCACGTTCATGTCTTCTCACTATCTCTATACCATTTCAAGTCTTCCCTCTGTCACGTTCATGTCTCTTTCCTTCTTTTTACCATCTCAAGCCTTCCCTTTGTCATGCTCATGTCTCTTTCCATCTTTTTACCGTCTCAAGTCTTCCCTCTGTCACGTTCATGTCTTCTCACTATCTCTTTACCATTTCAAGTCTTCCCTTTGTCACGTTCAAGTCTCTTTCCATCTTTTTACCGTCTCAAGCCTTCCCTTTGTCATGTTCATGTCTTCTCACTATCTCTTTACCATCTCAAGTCTTCCCTTTGTCACGTTCATGTCTCTTTCCATCTCTATACCATCTCAAGCCTTTCCTCTGTCACGTTCATGTCTCTTTCCATCTTTTTACCATCTCAAGTCTTCCCTTTGTCAAGTTCATGTCTTCTCACTATCTCTTTACCATTTCAAGTCTTCCCTCTGTCACGTTCATGTCTCTTTCCATCTTTTTACCATCTCAAGCCTTCCCTTTGTCATGCTCATGTCTCTTTCCATCTTTTTACCGTCTCAAGTCTTCCCTCTGTCACGTTCATGTCTCTTTCCATCTTTTTACCATCTCAAGTCTTCCCTTTGTCACGTTCATGTCTTCTCACTATCTCTTTACCATCTCAAGTCTTCCCTCTGTCACGTTCATGTCTCTTTCCATCTCTTTACCATCTCAAGTCTTCCCTTTGTCACGTTCATGTCTTCTCACTATCTCTATACCATTTCAAGTCTTCCCTCTGTCACGTTCATGTCTCTTTCCTTCTTTTTACCATCTCAAGCCTTCCCTTTGTCATGCTCATGTCTCTTTCCATCTTTTTACCGTCTCAAGTCTTCCCTCTGTCACGTTCATGTCTTCTCACTATCTCTTTACCATTTCAAGTCTTCCCTTTGTCACGTTCATGTCTCTTTCCATCCTTTTACCATCTCAAGTCTTCCCTTTGTCATGTTCATGTCTCTTTCCAATTTTTTACCATCTCAAGTCTTCCCTCTTCACGTTCATGTCTTCTCTCTATCTCTTTACCATCTCAAGTCTCTCCTTTGTCATGTTCATGTCTTATTGCCATCTCTCTACCATCTAAGTCTTCCCTTTGTCACGTTCATGTTTTCTCTCTATCTCGTTACTATCTCAAGTCTTTCCTTTGACACGTTCATGTTTTCTCTCTATCTCGTTACCACTATTTCTAGTCTTCTTCCCTCTGTCATATTCCTGTCTTTTTTCCATTGATCCCTTTACCATGTAAGGTCTTCTTCCTTTTGTCAGAAATACTTGACATACTTGCACATTCAACAGCCATAGTAACTTACACATGGCTTCATAAGTCACATTCCTGCAGAAAAAAATATATCCTTTTATCTTACAGAAAAGAAAACCTATCTAAGGTATCTAAAGAGGCCAGCTGGGTTATATATATGTATTTTATATTACAATATGAAATGTATAGTTAAGCCAACAATTATATGGTTGTTCTATTATCGAGTGAGTGTTTTAAATGCAAAACTTGTGCTGAATTATTGTTGTTCCGCTTTACTCATCATCTGTTTAATTTGGCAGTTTCAAAACTTATGTCCTTTACTTAAAGGTGTACAAGTTTAAGTCTTACATTATAATGAGAAATATTGAGGATTTCTGATGAATATTTGCCGGAGGCATGTGCTTAGAGGTTTTTTTCCCACCATTGGTGGTGTTCTAACTTTTGAAGGTCAACAGATTTGAACCATACATAGTGTTATGATTGGTTCAATTTGACTCATTTTTAACCATGATTGTACAAATTGACAGAAATTGTGGTGTGTACTGGGTGGTGGCATTTCATAGATTTTGAACCATGTTCACTTGGTTTAAAGTCACAGATTCAAACCTTAGTGTGTAGGGTTTGGGATTGGTGTAAGTTCAAATCTTTGACATTGTCATACTCTAATTGTGCAGCCCACTCTTCTCAACATAAGTCTTCATATCAGTAATTTGTTCCTTTTAGGGCAGCCCTTGATAATACTATGTAGGTCATGTCCTATCATACACTATTATATATGTAAAAGGGAGGTAAATCGTGACTTCTAAGGTTAAATTAAGGGACAATATAATAAGATTGACTGTTGATGTAATTTAGGTCACATATTGAGACCTTAACCATCGATCTTCTGGTACCGTATTTCGGATCTAGCCTTGTACCCACTCTGTAAGGACTACATAGAATTGGTCTGCACTAATTTCCAAATTAAATAAGACTATTTAATGAGAAAGGAAAAAACAAGTATTTATTTCAATGAGAAATGTAAAAGTTTTTAATGTCAAGGTTGCTGTAATTGTAAAGACATGTATAAAACAGTGTGTAATATACAAAGTTAATGAAGCAAGCTGCTTTAAATTGACTAGAAAAGAGGTTCTCTCTTATTGAATTGGATCGCACAGCTTCGTCACAATCAGCTCTGAAAGTGGGCTACAGATTCTGTTTCTAAATGCCACATGTCCATCCCTTTCTATGTAGTGGGAAACGCTTGAAGTGGAATACTAAATCTCTCAACACGTTTATAGGGCAAACAAAAATAGCCTGCATCTCATCCAGGCCTTTTTTTTCCGGGGAAGAAATTTTTCCTTTACAGACTACCAACTTGATTTAATTGATAATATTAACAGCAGAAACAATTCTATAACTGTGCTCCTTAACTTTTTGTCAAGGAGGAGTGTAAAAATCAATTAGGATTTAGTATGAAATTACAATGATTAATGACATTGACAAGGAGTGATATTTTGTAGAAAATGAGAGGGTGCCAAGTTCCACAAAGGTCAAACCACAAATTCTTGCGTTCAAAGGAACTTGTTGTATACTTCCAGTTAAACTAGTGAAATCTCTGTTTAGTCTTTTCTGTTGTTAAATCCGGTCGTCTTCTGATAACAGCTCTAGTTTATCTAATGACGTTTATGATTGATTCCGATTAGGTAGATTTCTGACAAGATCATTAGGTTTCTCACTTCTCGAAATGCTCACAAAGTGGAAAATATCCTAATTCACATAGATAGTTTAATCATCGTGTACTGCAATTGTGTTAGGTTGGGGTATTAGATAGGATGATAAGAGGAGAATTATTAAAATTGGAGAAAGATCATGCAATCATCTCATTAAAAATGCACTGAAGAATCTTGGAAATATAAGATTATTCTTTATTGTTTGTTGGAGACAAACCCTATTTTCAGTTTTCTGTAAAAAAAAAAAAAATAGAGAACGGAGTTTGATAAAAAAAAAAAAAGGCTTTGGCACTAGACCATTTCACATTGACCTGTTTTCAGTATTTTTTCAAAATTTCATATTTTTCACTTTTATGTCTACATTTTTATGGTAACTGCTGTCTAAAGAAAACAACACTGGAAACAATGATTTCATTTAAATAATAACCAGGTTTTGAAAATCCACAGATGTAATTTACTTATAGTATATACTGTTGTAAATATTTGAAAAACTGATTCATTTAGACAGGTTGTACTGTATAAACACATTTATATATATCATAATTTACTAATGAGAGTTTGTTTTTGTGTTGACAGCCCCAAGGTGGATCAGAGACAGGTGATTCAGACTATGTAAGTATTACCCTGTATCTAGTAAGTCCTGACAATTCTAGAGGTTTCTTATTTCTAAACATTACAGTTGATTTCTGAATCAAATGGCTCTCATAGACGTTTGAGTTCAAACTATAGCACCTGTGACTTGTATGCTGACTGTATCAGTAGTCCAGTCCAAGTCAGCTACAAATATTGATCATCACTTTGGTGTTTAAAGGACAGTCCAAGTCAGCTACAAATTATTGATCATCACTTTGGTGTTTAAAGGCCAGTCCAAGTCAGCTACAAGTTATTGATCATCACTTTGGTGTTTAAAGGACAGTCCAAGTCAGCTACAAATTATTGATCATCGCTTTGGTGTTTAAAGGNTTAAAGGACAGTCCAAGTCAGCTACAAGTTATTGATCATCACTTTGGTGTTTAAAGGACAGTCCAAGTCAGCTACAAGTTATTGATTATCACTTTGGTGTTTAAAGGACAGTCCAAGTCAGCTACAAATTATTGATCATCACTTTGGTGTTTAAAGGCCAGTCCAAGTCAGCTACAAATTATTGATCATCATGGGAAGCAACAAACTCTTCTATAAAATAGTTGATGTGAAACAAGGAGCTCTTCTATAAAATAGTTGATGTGAAACAAATAACTCTTCTATAAAACAATTGATGTGAAACAAGGAGCTCTTCTATAAAATAGTTGATGTGAAACAAATAACTCTTCTATAAAATAGTTGATGTGAAACAAGGAGCTCTTCTATAAAACAGTTGATGTGAAACAACGAACTCTTCTATAAAATATTGATGTGAAACAAATAACTCTTCTATAAAATAGTTGATGTGAAACAAGTAACTATTCTATAAAATAGTTGATGTGAAACAAATAACTCTTCTATAAAATAGTTGATGTGAAACAAGTTACTTTTCTATAAAATAGTTGATGTGAAACAAATAACTCTTCTATAAAAAATAGTTGATAGGAAACAAGGAGCTCTTCTATAAAACAGTTGATGTGAAACAAGGAGCTCTTCTGTAAAACAGTTGATGTGAAACAAGGAGCTCTTGTATAAAATAGTTGATGTGAAACAAATAACCCTTCTATAAAAAATAGTTGATAGGAAACAAGTAGCTCTTCTATAAAACAGTTGATGTGAAACAAGGAGCTCTTCTGTAAAACAGTTGATGTGAAACAAGGAGCTCTTGTATAAAACAATTGATGTGAAACAAGGAGCTCCTTTATAAAATAGTTGATGTGAAACAAGTTACTTTTCTATAAAATAGTTGATGTGAAACAAATAACTATTCTATAAAATAGTTGATAGGAAACAACAAACTCTTCTATAAAACAGCTGATGTGAAACAATTTACTCTTCTATAAAATAGTTCATGTGAAATAATGAACTCTTCTATAAAATAGTTGATGTGAAACAAATAACTCTTCTATAAAATAGTTGGGATGAAACAAGGAGCTCTTCTATAAAATAGTTGATGTGAAACAAATAACTATTCTATAAAATAGTTGATAGGAAACAACAAACTCTTCTATAAAACAGTTGAACGGAAACAACAAACTCTTCTATAAAACAGCTGATGTGAAACAATTTACTCTTCTATAAAATAGTTCATGTGAAATAATGAACTCTTCTATAAAATAGTTGATGTGAAACAAGGAACTCTTCTATAAAACAGTTGATGTGAAACAAGTAACTCTTCTATAAAACAGTTGATATGAAACAAGGAACTCTTCTATACAACAGTTGATGTGAAACAAGTAACTCTTCTATAAAACAGTTGATGTGAAACAAGGAACTCTTCTATAAAATAGTTGATGTGAAACAAATAACTATTCTATAAAATAGTTGATAGGAAACAACAAACTCTTCTATAAAACAGTTGATGGGAAACAATAAACTCTTCTATAAAACAGCTGATGTGAAACAATTTACTCTTCTATAAAATAGTTGATGTGAAATAATGAACTCTTCTATAAAATAGTTGATGTGAAACGAGGAACTCTTCTATAAAACAGTTGATGTGAAACAAGTAACTCTTCTATAAAACAGTTGATGTGAAACAAGGAACTCTTCTATAAAATAGTTGATGGGAAACAACAAACTCTTCTATAAAATAGTTGATGGGGAAACAACGAACTCTTCTATAAAATAGTTGATGTGAAACAAGGAACTCTTCTATAAAACAGTTGATGTGAAACAAGGAACTCTTCTATAAAACAGTTGATGTGAAACAAGGAACTCTTCTATAAAATAGTTGATGTGAAACAAGGAACTCTTCTATAAAATAGTTGATGTGAAACAAGGAACTCTTCTATAAAACAGTTGATGTGAAACAAGGAACTCTTCTATAAAACAGTCAAAGGACATAATATTTTCAATTTGTCTTTGACCTTCTTTAGAGATAAAAGTTTCTGAAAACATGGGTTTATCAGGGTACATTTCAAGTCCATTTAAAGGACCAATTGCCCCTTTGAAAATGTGTCTGATTTTCCCGAATTTACCCATTGAAAATTCCAAATTGGGAAATCTAAAAAAAGATGTGTAAATTTAAACAAATTCCTCCCAATGGACTGCATTCTCAAAATGACAAGTATGGAAGAAGAACAGAATGATCATGCTGCCATAAAGATAGGCTTAAATTAACATAAAACAATCTAATTTCATGTACTCAAGAGTTGGTATAATGATTACCAAGATTTCCCAAAATGGCTATTATGTTGATGATATTTCCCATTTTCGTCCCAGGGTCCATTTCCAAAAAATCCTCGATAATCCCCTGTCATAAGTTTTATATTGCTATTATTATCTTAGAAATTCATATTTAAGACACGCATAGACTCAGGGGTGTTTACCAGTTTTGAGTACAAACTGTGGGGTACCAGTCCATGTGTACCTCGGTGTATCAGTACTACAAGTAGATTATAATCTTTTTCCTCTTCCCCTAGCTGTGTAGCAGTTCCAGGGTAACTTCAGTTCATGTTATCAGTGCTAAGTTTCTTGCTGTATTTTCCACCATGCCTTACACTCCATTTCACCAATGATCAATATCTGTTTATGACGGTGCAGAGAAATGTGTTTGAAGCCAAGTATTAGGAGCTTCGAGGACCAGAGACATAACCATTTGTGTGCTTTTTACAGCTGTTCAGTTAAAGTAATTTACTTTTATTGAAATTTGACTACATCTAAACAAGGAAAGCCTCTTTTAAATGCAGAGGATTTTTTTTCCAGATGATAAAGCAACCCTTGTAATAAGTTTAAAGTGAACAAAAAATATAATTTCATTCTAAATTAGTTTTCTTTCTTTTAGTCGTGACTATATTAAAACTCAAATTAGTTAGAACAGCAAGGAGGCATGGTTACAAGCTGATTAATGTTTCAAGTGGCTTTTATTCTTTAATCAGTAGCTACATGTATATGAACCAAATAGCAGGAACATTTTAATCTTACTGAATTTTTCTAAGGAACTGTAGATTTTTTTCTATGTAATACATGCTATTATTGGTATGACTCCAGCATATTTAGGTTTTTAGCCCACGATCATCTGATGGTGGGCTATTCAAATCACCCTGCGTCCATGGTCCATTGTCGATTCGTCGTCCGTCGCCCGTCCTTAAACAATTCTTGTAATCGATATTTCTCAAGAAGTACTTGAGGGATCTTTCTCAAATTTTATATGTAGGGTTACCCTTGGTCCTCAGCTGTGCAGGGCAACTTTTGAGACTGATCGGATAAACAACATGGCCGACAGGCAGCCATCTTGGATTTTGATTGTGAAAGTTTGTTATCGATATTTCTCAAGAAGTACCAGAGGGATCTTTCTCGAATTTTATATGTAGGTTCCCCTTGGTCCTTAGCTGTGCAGGGCAATTTTAGAGACTGAATGGATAAACAACATGGCAGACAGGCAGCCATCTTGGATTTTGATAGGGAAAGTTTTGGGGNGGGGGGGGATTTTGAGCCAGTTGTTTCGACTATCTTTCCCTACCTACATTTGTAAAAATGAATGAAGTGACCAATAAGGTGTAAGGTGTTTAGGATTAAAATACTAAGCAATCTTGACGCAATGGATTCAGATTGTCATGAGAACGTAGGAAAGACAAGGGAAGGATGTAACATGATTTTACTGGCAGTGGTAGTAACACACTTAACAGCACTACAGATACTGAGGAGCCAGGCCCTCATGAGATCAGGGACATATTGATTTCTTAAAAAGGTGCACACTCAACGACACACTACCCAAGGGGTTATATGTAAAGGTCAGCGTGCAAGTACCTGACTCTAGTACACAGAAATTGACATTGCACGAGAAAAATGGTGTTTGGTTTAGGATTGACAAAATTACTTCAGAGTTGTCGGTTAGAGATGATAACAATGTTAGCTACATCAATTGAAATTTAACCTATTCACCCCTAAAGTCTCATTTGAACATTACCAAATCAAAGACTGGGCAAGTCCAGTTTAAATATGTAGAGGTGAATGAGTTAAGGTACTAATCAAATCTGTAATCTCATCAGACACTGAGAATGTTGCCTGGTTAATCACAGAACTTGTAAATACACACATCAAGTTGTCCAGAAATAACAGATAAATAGATGACATTTTCCTTATATAGCCACATTTTAGAGTTGACCCACCTCTCTCCATGAAACCATGAACATTTATCATGACATTGCCTGTATCCCAGGACAAAGGGAACAGTTATAAATTCATTTATATATATGTGACTCTGGGCTAGAAATTAATTTTAAGAGCTATTAGTCAGTCGGGCTAATATTTACCAATTTTACCAATGTGCAAATTCCAACAACCCAGCATTATTCAACTTGTTAACCCTTAGGCTGCTACGCACAACAATAGTCGTTTTTAAAAGTCGGGCCGTCAGTGCTACGCACGACTATAGTCGTTTCTCGGTCTGTAGGCTTTGATCGGTAGCCAGGAAGTGTGAAGTCAGGTTGTTGCTATACCAAACCCGAACGCGTATAGTAGACGGCTTCTGATTGGTTGTTTTGCCA